TAAAACAACATGTGTACTACTGTTTCATGAGAAACTATTTGTTCTGTAAGCCTTCACCTGAAGTACAATAAAATATAAAAAAAAAACAAAAAAAATGTCAACAGGGTTAGAAAGCAAAAAAAATTTAGTTAAGACACTTCTTTCAATGAACTTCTTTCTACTGAACCTGCAATTTAATAAACATAGTAGACTTCTTTTAGTTTTCTGTAAGGCAAGCATTTGACAGGTGGCAGTCTTTCTTTCCAGGATATCCACTTTGATTACTCTAAAAACTATGTCTAAAAATTCAAAGCAGGGGGGACCCCAAACACAAATTTAAAAAAATACCTCAAAACTACATACTGTTTCTCATCCTCACATAAAAAAAGAAATAACATTCTTTGATGGACTGTAGTTCTCGTCAATATATACATCAAAACTTTAAAGAGCCTCCCACAACCGCAAAACCGTATGTTAAGGCCCAGTAGCCGTTCTTCCAGACGTCCTGCTCTCTTTCCCTTGCAGCAGCTTGGAATCATGCCACCATCTCTTTCAAAGTCCAAAAGTTGCCATGGCAACAATGCTACAGAAAGCACAGTCCCTTCATTACATGAATTAACATTCAGAAGGGATTATCTCATAGAAAGGACCTATCCACACAATTATTTTATTTTCCTGGGAACTGGCATTGATAAAAACCATCACACGTGCAGATTATTTCCCTTCGTTTTTGTTCTTTTAAAGTACATTTCTGTCACAATAAATCTGATCAAAATGATTTCCTAAAAACAACTCTGGCTTTAAACATGGTCACTAAATTCCAAAAAGAATAAAATGACCATCTATAAATCGAGGCTAGTGAAAATAAACGTGCAATTTTATAACTATGTGTAGTTCAAATAAGTTAATACCCTCAACCAATTTTTTAAAAGAGTTTTTAAAAAATTATTTTTAGGAAAAAACATTTGAAGGATATATTTTTTCAAACTTTGCTAACATTATATATTTGGAGTCCATTGGTTTAAATTCATTCATTTTAGAAGAATCTTTGCAATGAAAATATTTTCTCATTTGCTTTTGGTACTTTTTTTGGTTTTTGTCTTTACTGTGATTTTTTTTTAATTGTTGTGAAAATATATATATTACTGTCTGTTTTAAAGAATAAATCCTAGTTTAAGCTTATCTGAAAAGAATGTTGCCAGATATCTGCTCTAAGCTAATGCATCATACACGAGTCAAAATTAGACTCATTTTCTGTTTTCTTAAAACTACTTCCTAGGGAAAAAAAGCTGCTTATAAACTCATTTCCTCTCTCCTCAGGGTGAGCTACATAAGCTGAAGACAACTGTGACCATTCTGTTTAAACTTCTGGTGACCAATAAAAGGATGGAAAAATTCAGGAAGAAAATGATTCAGGATTTGCCTTGCATTATAAGTGCCAGCTGCTAAATGTTGTGCCAGGACTTAGAAAAGAGTTCCAGAGTATGTTATATGGCTCATTGCATGTCAAAATGCATAATTAGGTTTTGATTAACCTGTAACGGCCTTGCAGAAAGTGCTGTATTTATATACGCCACATGTTAATGAAGCAAATAAAACTTCATCTCCCTTCCTTTAAAAAACGGCAGTTGTTTTGAGGCTGTAGATTGTTTCATGGAAATTGCCTGAAAGAAGAGTCTTTGATAAGAGCAAAAAGCACCCTTAGCCACCTACCCATTTTGCTGTTTACTGTCACCCTGGAATCCTCTTCTCTGTCCCTCTGCTACCTCCTGAGCAGTCTCGGAACACACGCTGGTGACTGTGGGCTGCCGTGGGACATTAACTGCAGTTTTAACAGCGCTCAGTGCAGGTGAACGCTGGTCAGCACTAAGATTGGCATTAGCATGCAGTCCAGATGCAGCGAATGGGGGAGGAGTGACAGCAGCCACAGGTGGAGGGGAAGCATGTGATGAAGTGGTCACATGGGCTGTGGTGAAGGCAGACGATGGTGATGGGATGGATGTGACTTTTGGAGAAGACACAAAACCAAAGGGTCGTGGTGTCTTATTGTAGGCCATGTTGGTTGTGGAAGTGACTTTGGACACAGCAGGAGATGTAATGGGCACAGGTTTAACTACTTCTTTAGGTTCTCCCTATGTAAAATAAAAATAAACATACACAAAAACACACCAAAGACATGCAAAATACATTCACTGAAAAGAACATGTAGCTGACTTTTAAAACGACAAACACAATCATGTTAGCAGCCCCAAATTCATGTTTCCAGATAAAAACATAGAGTTTATATAGCATAACATGCATGCTAACTGGTCTCAACATGCGTAACACAGATGCACACACTAAGTATATTTTTTTATAAACATGAAGGAAGTTTTAAAATATTTAGGAAATAGAGCAGGAAAACTATCAAAAATAAAGGCCATACAGTTGTTCGATTTAGACACAGTCTAAAGGAAAAATTGTAAAGTATTCCAAAATAAACAAAACATTGCTAACCAACTTTTTTATTTTAAAATAAAATAAAAAAGAGCCTCAATTCTAATTCCATCTCTCAAATATGTTTGATTACTCTCTAGACTGCAATTATTTGATTCATGCATAAGCAGCAGAACATCTCTTACTCTTCAATTAATAAAAATGAGGGGGCATAAAGTAATTTTTATCTAACTCAGAAATGTATACATTTAACGTGCACACTAATTATCTTGAATAAAGAAATTACTAAAAAAATTAACAAAAAGCAAACAAAAGAAAATCAATTCTTTCCCTCTTCTGTAATTCACCTCTGTTTTTCTCTCTTTGGAAAGTTCTGAGATAATGATTCAGAGATGGAATAAAGTTCTTTCCCCTTCGTTTCCAAAATAAATATTTAATATTTAGTAGTTAAATGAGGAAAAACTGAACTTAGACATTTCCTCACTGCTATCAGCCAAAGAAAAAATAACTAGTATGAAAGATCAATTCCTTCTAAAATTAACAGAATTTGTGTTTGCAAATCCCAATTCCAAAGCAAGTCTAAAGTTAAAAAAAAATCAAGTTAATCGTTCATGACATTCAAGAATAAATCTCTACGCACACTACCACCCCAAAGGATAAACAATTATATTTTTAAAATGCACACAATAATGCTATATTATATTTACTTTCAAGAAAAAAAAGTAATCTAAATTAATCTTATAGGAATAACAAAGCTAATGGAGAAAAACAGTAGCTTAATGTTTAAGCAAATGAATGTAATAAGTAACAGAAAGGCAGTAAGCAAAATTGAGAGGAAAATCTCCAAAAGCAAACACCAGATGTATATGAATAACAGTTTAGGAACATTTGGGAACATATGTGAGTAAAAGGCTAACTGCCAATAACCTAATCCAAGAATACTCTGAAAATGCAATTAAATACTTATTAATAAAATGTTGTTAAAGACCTGTTGGTATATACATTTTCGGTAGCCACTTATCTATTCCCTTTAGAATATACATGAATAAAGACAGGCAAATTAATATGTGAATGTGAATATAAGAAATTTGGACATAGGTTATTGATAAGATATGGCTTTGTAAATAATGTTTTAATAATACAGGTCCAATTACAGAAAATAATTCTGTATGTGTTAATTTCCAGCTCTTCTCCCTCATACTTTAAGTTAAAAAAAAAAAAAAAAAAGAGGAAAATTGTACTGAGACTAAATGAAACGTCCATATAACCTGAGACAGGATTAGAAATTACTCAGGAGGGAATATTAAATGGTACTCTAGATGCTAGATTAGAAACACACCTTCTCAACAGGAACCGGCTCAGGCTTAGGTGTAGCAGATGCTCTGCGGGGAAAAAAAAAACATGAATTTTTACAAACTTGTAAATTTCTTAAAATAAAATTTTTACCATTATGTACCTTAACATACTAAATCAGAATTTATAGTTTCACAGTTCATGTATTTTGACTATTCATAATCTATTTACTAGTCTTCTATAAGTCAAATGCTACAAAACTTAATACCCTTATACACTCGATATTCATTAGCAACCTCTGGCTCTCTACGAACTCAACTGAAGAAAAACAAACATCAATCCTGCTTCTGCTGCACCCATTAAATCCTTAAATTAAGGCTATTCCCCAACTAAAAGGGCAAGGTATAATAAACATGATTTTCTGATTCTTGAATGGTTCCTCAACCATCTAATCTAATAATCTCTATCCTCAATAACATCTGCTTTTTACCCTAATATCCATTTAGAAACATCCATGAACAAATGTTTGTGAACATAATGAATAAATTCTGGTTGAACTGGATCACTGAATGAGTATTTATTTCATATTTATATTCTTATAAGTGCTTATGCAAATTAATGCCTTTGTTATGGTAAAACTAAACCATAAATTCTTCCACTAGGCTATAATTTCAGTGAAGGCAATGACTGTGTCTTACTTTGTATCTCAGCACAGTGCCTGGGATGTAACAGGTCATCAGTAATGAATATGAGAAGAAAGGAACAAGACTAAAATTCATGCATACAGCTTGAAGATTTCTATACTTCATTTTTTATTATTTGTATTTGTAATATATGCTGTCTTGTACTATGTTATTACTGTTCCTTTGGTTAGCATGGACTAGTAACAATAATTGGTTTCGAGCCATTATCTCATATAATCCTTACAATAACCAAAGTGGAAGCTATGATTATCCCCATTTTTCAGATGAGGAACTTCAAAGTTAGACTGCCTAGGCTGGAGCTAAAGTCTGCACTTCTTAAATATTACAATGTATAGCCTGTGTTCAAGGACAGTAACTAAATAATTGGGAAAGCCTCTAATGATTTAAAAGCTATTTACCCAGTGTTAATGTACCTGTTATGTTTAATGATGTCAGAAGCAGTTTGACTCCTCTCATATCACACAAGCCTGAGGATAAGATGTCAAGTACAGAATTCAAGAAATGTAAGCCTAGTGGGTAAATACTAAGTGATAACACTTTTAAGCTACGAATTATGGGATCGTTTTGCTCACAGAGACAAACATCACAAATAGAAGACACTAGCATAAGATAATGGGTCTCTATGAGCATAACCTAGTAATGAACTCCAATCAACAATTTTAGCAGCATCTGAATCTTCCAATAACAACTGATTTGGTTAGTTAGAGTAGGCACTGACTGAACGACTGGCTAACCTAACAAGAGTCCACAATAGGTGCTCACATTCAATTACTGCAATACAGAATTACATTCTGTGCTGTTGCATAATTTTCCACGTTTACTCTTAAGTAGACAATTTCTCTTTTAGCTTATAGTGTTATTATAGCAAGTAAAGGAAACATGTTCAAGTACAGAACAGTGGAATCTTCCTTTCATTGAAATTTCACAATAGGACGTAATCACAAAAGATGTACTTATTAAAACCACCCAAGACATTACTGAAAGTTCGCCATAATAGAGAATATGGTGTCTTTTTCATCTGGACACTTCAAGGTGCATGCAGCACTTCCAGCAACATAAAAATAATTCATTAAAAAAAGCATGCTATTTAATAGTACTAGGTTTCCAAACTTAAATCAAAATGCATATATCCTATGTCTATGAAAACAAACTCCTTAGTTTTTTCTAGATGTTAGTTCTTAAAGAGTGTAGGAGATTAGGGAAAAAAAATCCCCAGATTGGCTAGTTTTCATTAATTTTGGAATCCAATCCCTTATATTGTTGAGAAGCATAGAATAATCAGGAGTTCTAACCTACTTTATAGGTTGAAACATCTACAAAAATACTGCTTGAAATTTTAAATTAAAAAATGTTTTTTGTTAAATCTTGAGTCAGCTTGCCCTGCTTGCCTTCTGATAAAGTCTCACAAGTGCAATGAAAGTCAGAGAAAGAGGGGCAACATGCCCTTTAAAATTCAAGGGTAGATTCCACTACACGTTAAAAATATGAACATAACTGAAGGTCAAAAAACGCAGTTGATACTAGATGCAATACAAATTAGTTTTGTTGGTTTAAATATTTAAATAAATACCAAATGAGTCACAGAAGCATTGAAATAGAAATAGAAGGTTCCTTAGAGCTCCTTTATCATATGCCAATCAGCAGGTTGGTCTGACCTCTATCATCTGAAAGTTTACAGGAGCTCACAATTTAAATCATGTAATTTTTTATCGTTATGTTAAAATTGTTTTTATTTCAGTGTGCTTTATACTTTTGAAACAGAAGTCAAATAACTTTTTCACATTAAAATTATTTCAAAAAACATTTTAAAATCTACAACATGCGCTAGTTACATTATAAAAGATCAGTATGCTCCATCAATCTTATACCTAAGTATAATGACATACTCTTATGATCTATAACTATTGTGGCTCAGGAAATTTGGAATATATGATATTTGAAGGCTACAAAATAAATGAATAGTAACGGCACTTTAGTTGGAAAAAGATCAAACAATTTTACCAATTATCAAAGAATAACAGAATAAAAAGATATACCACTTTTCCTTTCAAATGTACAGAGATTTTTTTAAAAATGTTAATACACAATGCTGTGAGAATAAGACTATACATTAACATAGCTCTTCTGGAAAATGATCTAGCATTGATTTATAAACAAAGCCTTCAAGAATGCTCATGCTCTTGACATAAATCAACTTCTGGTAATCTATAATAAGAAAATAACCTGAAATATGGGAAAGACTTTATGTAGAAAGACTTTATATATAAAGATTATTTGTTCACTACAGTGTAATTTATAATAGTGAAAAATCAAAAACAATCTATTAAGTATACAAGAATGAGAAAATGGTTAACTATAACTACATGATACATTATATAACAATTAAGATCATGCTTAGGAGGAATTTTGAATAGCAAGATAAAATGCTTTATGATGTCTAGTGGAAAAGGAAGATCTAAAATAGCATACACAACATAATCAACGCATGGAAAAGAGTAGACAGAAACACATCTATATATTAACGGAGATTCTCTCTGAATGATATCTGTTCTTTCTCTTTTGTACATGTGTTTTCCATATTTTATATAACATAATTGTGCAACTTTTTACAGTAAGGAAGAATATTTCTCAAAGAATATTTTATGGAAAACTACTTTTTAAGAAACAAAAAAGATTCTATTGTCAAAAACATCTGAAAAACAGAGCTAAAGTTACATAAGGAGCTAAACCACAGGACTTCTCAGAGCCTTTAATTTCCTAAGGAAGAAAATCCTGTGGATTGGTGCCCACACTCGTTTGAAGGAGATTTCTTTATTAAGGAAACAATCAAAGGAAGAGCAAATCTCTGTAAAGTCTGAAAATGTTTACTTAAGTCTCCTGCAAGTGGCTCCAATTAAGAGAAAGAAATATTATATTTCTTAAATTTCTTGAAATCATTTTTTATACAGAATATTTGTCTTATTAAATTAGTCTTTCCTGAACTTTATATTTAACAAAACATCCAGACTATGAGTAAAATTTAATCAATGTTTAAGGAGTAAAATCCTATTTCCTTTATCAAACTGTAATATGTATCTCCTACAATCCCTAGGGAGAAAATACCAGTATATGAAAAAGGAACTTCATTTCCTAAAATTAAAAATTTTATAGTTATTTTTATTCATGAAAATATTATATTGAGCATCTGTTCTTTAATCTTAGAAATGTAACAGACTACTAGAAAATGAATAATTTTTAAACGACGTTTAAATAAATACTTTCTAAAAACTGAGGTACAAATATGAGGAAGTATTCCTACATTATTCTCTTCAAATCCTGGCAGATACACAATAGGATAATATATTTCCCTTTCAACTACAGTGATCATCACAAGCCACTTTTGTACAGTGTGTGAGTATCAAACCAGCAGCGATCCTGGCAATGGCTTACTGCCATGGGCTCAACAATTCGCTTATTGTTCTCCTGTTCCTTAGTGTGAAGCCACTGTTCGTAAGTAAGTCATGATGGTGAGCTACCAGTGCCTTAACCCAGTGCTGTCCTCAGCCCACAGAATTCAAAGAACAAAGCTGGCAGTGTGGCTGTAAAGCTGATTGATTTGTGTAAGACTGGTATCCAGATGCATTCCAACTAGTTTCAGAACTTCTAGCTTAACAGTTGAAAGAAATTCTAAGTTATAATGGACTGTATTTAAAAACCGGAGTTGTGATGCCCTGGTTAGAATAATGTATAGGAACACAATACCATAAACAAGGAATAGATCTATCAAGGATTAGATTCAAAGGAATCAAGCAAAACTCCATCTTAAGAGCACCTAAATGAATGGTGTTATTTAAGTTATACTTTTAACTAATCAATGCACTTTTTAAAATATTGCTCTATAAAATAACATGCTTCTGTTTATAAAGCAGCCAGTGAATGTTCACATTAGTGTTTAAGAACGAGGAGTTAGGCGACACAACTAGACTGAAAATGATTACTCACATTACTCATTATGTCTTGGTGACTCCTTCAACCATATCTAACATACTTAACTCATAAACAATCGGAGAGAAAGGAAAAGCATTTTTGGTTCATCCTCTATGAGATAAGCTCTATCTAAGTTTCCCACAGCATGGCTATCTTTGGGCCCACCGACCTCAGGACCCCATAAACACTAGGGTACATCATTAATCACTTTAATTGCAAAGTTGTCAATTTGTAATAACAAAGCAACTCCAGGAGGAAAAAGTGAGCACTCAAGTGTGCAGAGAGAGATGTTTCTTTCAACAGTTTCCCCATACTTTATTGTCCTTTCAGTTAGTCTACTTTCCTAAAAACTCAAACATTTAAATCACTTATAGCAATATATCGGTGGTTTTTTCCAAATGATTTGAGAATATGTAAAG